TATTTTTTATTTCTTTGTTTGAAGATACTCTGCTCAGGTCCTTAGCCCATTTTTTTTTTTGGTCTTTTTGAGACAGGGTCTCCCTGTAGCCCCAGCTGGCCTGGAACTCACTATGTAGACCAGGCTGGCCTTGAACTCACAGAGATCCACCTGTCTCTGCCTCCTGAGTGCTGGGACTAAAGGCGTGCGCCACCATGCCCGGCCAGCCCATCTTTTTATTGGATCGTTTGTTTTCTTGTTTCTTTGTTTTTTGGATTTTTTGTATATTCTGGATATTAATCCTTTGCTGGATGTGTAGCTGGTGAAGATTTTCCTCAGACAGAAAGTTTCCTTTTTCCCTTCTTTGGTTGTTTCTTTTGCTGTACAGAAACTCATTTGCTTTTTACTCAGGCATGACTAGTTAGTTGGTGTACGCTTTAGGTTCTCGCTTTTCATTTTTTATTGGTGGTACAGGTTGGTTCCAAGCTAGTTAGTGAAGTGCTTTTCAGTGGGAGGAGGGGAATTCAAGGCTATGGGGGATCCAGTTGCTGGATTCTGGCAGGCTAGTGAAGAGGTCTCAGGGAGGAAGATCGGGAGGCCGGTCGTAGAGCTAAGCTGGTCTGAGGTCAGTGTGGGGAGTTTAGATAGCTAGGCAGAATAAGTCTGGGCCCTGAAGCTGGAGAATGCAGCTAGTCCGGGGGCAGGGAATCAGGACATATTGAGTGGGGTCTGGGTTATGAGGCTAGTCCAGAACTCTAAGGCATGAGGAGCAGGAGCCGGTCTAGACCCAAGGCTGGAAGGGGGACAGTATGTGGAGGGAGGATGGAGATGGTCAGGGTCTTGGCAAGTCAAGTCCCTGTGAACAGGTTCTGACTTACCAAGGGTATGCAGGTCTCTTTTAGGCAGTTCAGGAGTGGGGCCAGGGACAATGCAGGGGTGGGGACAGCCTGGGGTGGGTCTAACAAACTAAGCAGAGCAGGTGTGGGTCCTGAAGCTCTAGTATATGTTTAAAAAAAATACTCCTTTATTTGTGTGTGTGTGTGGGCGGGTAGGGGAACGGATGGTTGGCAGGAGTGCACATGCACTACAGTGCTCTGGTGGAGGTCAGAAGACAATTTCAGGAGTCCATTACCTCCTTCCAGGTCCTTAAGCCACAATTTCATCTGAATTGAAACTTTCCATCCAGGAGTAAGACTCCTTAAAATCCTGGATGTAAACAACTCACAAGACTCAGGAAGTCTCTGAAACTTACCAGAGTCACAAGGCCCTGCCCTCCCCAAGGTTAAATAAGTAGTAAAGACAGCTTACATACAAGAGAGGAGACTTGAATCTTTTAAGTTGTCTAGTATAGGTTTTAAAGTATTGTTTTATAATGTTCTGGGTATTTTTTGGTATTCATTATGATGTTTCCCTTTTCTTCTCTGATTTTGTTAGTTTGTACTCGCTCTTTCTTTTGTTTAGTTGGGCTAACGGTCTGTCTATTCTGTTCATCTTTTCAAAGAACCAGCTCTTAGAGTCATTGATTCTTTGTTGTTTTCTTTGTTTCTCTTTTATTGATTTCTCCTCTGATTTTTATTATTTCTTCTCATCTGCTGAGTTTGGGTTTGGTTCGCTCTTCTTTTCCAGATACTTGAGTTCTACCATTAAGTCATGTGTTTGTGCCCCAGTATATGGTCTATTTTAGAGAAATTTCCAAGGACTGCTGAGTAGAATGCAAAATCTTTGGTGCTTGGGTAGATAGGGTGTTTGTCATGTCTCTTATGTCCATTTGATATATGATATCATTTAACTCTGATTTTTCTCTGTTTATTCTTTGTTGAGAGGACCTCTTTATTGGAGAAAGTGGGGTATTGAAGTCACCTACTATTACTGAGTTGGAGTTAATCTGTCTGTAGTACTGTGTTTATGAAATTGGATGCACCATTGTTTGGTGCATATATGTTCATGATTGCAATGTCTTCTTGATCAATTTTTCCCTTGATCAGAATGTAGTGATCTTATTTATTTATGTCTTCTGACTACTTTTAGTTTGAAGTCTATTTTGTTAGATATTAGAATAGCAGTGCCTGCTTGTTTCTTGTGCCATTTTCTTGGAATATTTTTATAGACTATTATTCTTTATGAATATTGATTCAAAAATCCCCAAACAAGTATCCATAAACCAAATTTAGTAGCATCCTAACAAGATTTTTCTGTATGAGCAAGTAGATATTTTCCTTAGAATGCAGAAATGATTCAATATATAAAAATCTATTAGGCAAACACACCACATTTACAGAATAAAGACAAAAAAGAGCAACTCAATTGATAAAAGCATTTGAAAAACTCAATACCATTTCATAATAAAAATATCACCTAACTAGGAACAGAAGAAAGTTCAGTACAAGAAAGGTGCATATGAAAACTCAACAATTAACAACTTACTCAGTGGTGAAAAACTGAAAACGTCATCTCAGAGCAGAAACAAAGTAAGGATGTTAACGTTCAACTTTTCTATTCAACACAGGATTGGATAGCTTAGGCGGAACAGTGGGGCATGGGAAATAAATGACAGAAACCCAAGTTAGAAAAGAAGTAGTAAAATTATTTTTTAGTAGAAAAATGATTTTTTTCAATATATTTTTATTGACTTCTTGTGCATTTCATACAACACATCTTAATTATATTTAGACCCCCCCCTCCCATATCTTCATTCCCTCATGGCCTGCCCACAGAAATTTTGTGCATTCTGAAATCCATGTGAAAGTTTATTGAGTCAAGTTTGTGTCCCCAGGTGTCCCTTGATATGAGTTCATTCACTGGAGCTTGTTCAGTCTATCTAGCATTGCTCCCTTAAAAAAGACCAACTGTTTCTCACCCAGCAGTGGTCAGCTGCCAATAGTTCCTCAACTAAGGTTGGGGCCTCCTGCCATTTCCCCAGTTATATGCGGTTTTTTAAGAAATCTGATTTGAGTTTACATGGATCTTGTGCATGCTGTCACCATTGCTGTAAGTTCATATGAGCAAGTTCCCAGCCACCTGAAAAACTCTTTCCTTATGGCCGTGCACCATCACTCATTCTTACAATCTTTATGCCCCTTCTTCCATAGTGGTCCTTGAGCTCTGGTGGGCGAGGTTTAGTATAGGAGTCCTGTCCAGGGATATGCATTCTGTAGTCCCTTATTCTCACTAGTTGTGGCTTTCTGTGTGCATCGCACTATGTTGCATGAGAAGCCTCACTGGTGAGAGTTGAGAGATGCGTTAATATTTTCTCTACTCCCTGTTCCACTATGTTTCATGAACCTTAGGTGTAGAGGCTCCATTTTAGACATGTCACTTAGGGCTGAGCATCTCATAGACACTTATTCTCTGTGTGTCACCAGTTGTGGAACTCTGTAATAATCTCCATGTCTTATAAAAAGAAGCTTCTTTCATGAATGGTGACAGAAATACTTGGTCATAAATATAAGGATCCATATTTAGCATACAGTAAGAAATTACATTTGTCTAGGAATGTGACAGATGTAGGGTTTTCTCTAGGATCTATGATCCCTCCAGCCATTTGGCAGTATTTACAGTACCACACTTGGGTTCCCTCCCATTGAGTGGGCTTTAAGTCCAAATAGATAGAAGTTGATACCCCAAAACAAAAGTGCTATTACTGGACCAATAGAGATAGTTTGCTGCACTGGTCATTGTTGTGGTTATTAGGCTTTACAGCTGCACTGGACTGCTGACTGATTTTCTCCTTTAGCAGCTTGCATAGCGTCTTCTGATACTATGAGAGATAGTCTTCAGGAAGAAGCCTTCCAGGTCAGTTCTAGCTCCATTTCTCCAAACTATGTCCTGCCTTCAGCAATAGGGTCTTACCTTCAAGTTCGTGGAGGAAACCAAGGGCTTTGGCAACAGTCTGTGTCATTTTGGGAGTCTCTTGGATTATCCTGATCAATAACTCAAAAGGAGGTTTTTCCTGTCTGGAACTGTGCCTCTTGTTATATAGCCTTCAGGTATACACATGCACTCATATTGCACTCATATAATATATATTAGTTTTGTATTTCCCACCTACTGGGCCTTGATCTCCCAGCTCCATTCTCCCTGCTCCAGGGCTCACATCAATTCTGCTTAGCTAGTTAGACCCTCCCCACATTGTCCTCTTCCCAGCCTTGGGCCAGGGCCCCTCCTGCTCATCCTGCCTAGTTCTGTTTTCATTGATTATATAGCTTGGTTGCTTTCTGATCAGGTATGAATAGCTGTCTGTACTTCAGGTTTTCACTTTAAAATTTTTTTATTGGAGAGATAGGATGGTCCCAGGCAGGCTAGTCTGGATCTCTCCAGGACTGTGTATGAGCTTAATCCAGAAGCAGGAACCTGGTGACTAAGTGGGGTGATTCTTACTAGCTAAGCAGAGTAGATGTGAGCCCTAGAGAAGCAAGAACAGGGCTGGTTCCAAAGCAGGGAGATGGAGACTGAGCAGGCAGGATCTGACTAACTTACCAGGTTAGTCAGGAGCTCTTGGTCAGGACTGCCAAAGGGCTTTTAATATAGTAACACAGAACTAACAGAAAGATGATGAGTGTTGTTTATTACATCACCCTGACAGATTCATCACCAGGGACTGAGATTGAGAATCTCAATCATGGTACAAACTTGGGCTTTGTTTGTTGTTTGCTGTTTCCACATAAAAGTAGATAAAATTTCAAACATAAATCACATAAGTATATACATCTCACTGAATACATACACAGTTGTAAACTAACAACTTTTACCCAGATCAAAATATGGGAAAAGCTAAAACCCCGGAAGAACCCACTGTGCTGTCCATGAATCCTCTATACACAAAAATTCAACAGTAATGATTTGCTCCATCATCATACATTGATTTTATGATGATTATAAAATTATCACATACAAGTGATGTGCCAAGCAGATGTGCCTTTATAGTTTAATGATTAAAAGTGGTTTTCCAGGCCAATACTACTCATCTCTGCTGATATCAACTCTAAACCTTATGATATCACTTTCATCTTTTTCCACTACAGGTTTGTAACATGGTTATCTTTTTGGGGCCTGATTATCCACCTTCAACACCTTGGAGATGATGTTTTCCTATTACAGTTGCTCTTAGGTGCAGTGATTATCCCAGCCAATTTTTTTGGCATTTTTTTATTGAAGTACATGGGCCGTAGACTAAGCCAATTGCTTACCACGTTCCTGTTTGGAATCTCTCTTCTGGCCACCATATTTGTGCCTCAAGGTGAGGATAGATTACAGGGTAAGCAAAGAAATTATCTCCTTCCCTTTCATCAGGATTTTCAGACCCACCTATATGAAATCAGAACAGAATTCATTCTAAGGATTTTCTGTAACCAGTTTGGGCGTTCAGTGCACATTATTCCGTGAAGGTGCTGGGAGACGAGCTGAAACTCAGAAAGGCTTGGCTCCAATACATGAATGCCTTTGATGCTCAAGTAATACCTGGAAGCTTGTGCCGTTTATCCCCAAATTTCTGTGGGTCAGCAGTGGCTCATTCACTCATTGGGCAATGACAGTTTTCATAGCAGTCATGCAGAGTTTGGGCTTTAGAATTCTGCCCCAAAATAAAAAACACACACTCTCACTTCCTCTGTCCAGCTGGGTCTCATAGCCTTAGTTCTAGTGACTATTTCCTGAACTCTACACATGTACTCATGACTCTCATATTGTCATCACAAATACTACCTTAGTTTGGCAAGATATCTGAACTCAAGAGAGTATTTGTGTTGAAATACAGATGTGCACAGAAGTATGGATGGATTAATCATTAAGATGGCTAGAATTGGGACTGAAGAGATGGCTCAGCAGTTAAGAGCACTGGCTGCTCTTGCAGAGGATCTGTGTTCAGTTTCCAGTACCCACGTGGTGGCTAACAACCATCTGTAACTCTAGTTCCAGGGGAATCTAATGCCCTCTCCTGATCTCTGTAGGCATTTCACAACACATGTGCATTTACATACATGCAGGCGATACACTCATACATACAAAATAAAATTATTAAATAAAATATTTTAAAAAGACTGCTAGAATTAATCTTACTGAATTAAATGGACCTGTATAATAAGTGGTCACCAAGCTTTGCTAAAATCCAGGACTGAATTCTATTTTATGTATCAATTTTATAAGTGAACTCCTGGACTACCACCTTCCCTACTTCTTAATCAAATATCAAAGATACAATGTGTATGAGTAAAATTGTTCAGAAGCTTTTATTCATTATGAACCAATATTTGCACATAGGTCATATTTCTCAACTTAATAACCATGGAAGCAATTCTACCTCTGTGCAGTTTTCCCAAACTCTATTTTTGACCTGTACACACCTTCAACAAAGGTGCTTTCCATTTGGGATTTGTGGAGTCCGAGTTCCTGGAGCTAAACCTTCATGACTGTCCCTGGTCTTCCTTTCTCCAGAAATGCAGACCCTGCGCATTGTTTTGGTGACTTTTGGAGGAGGATTTTCTCAGGCCGCCTGTACAAGTATTATCATTCATACAAATGAACTGCTCCCCACCGTAATCAGGTACACGACTCAAGGTTCCCTGTCAGAGTCAGGATAGGCTTTTCTCAGCTCATTCACTCTTACCGAGGGAGGAAAAGACCAGCTAGATGGTTGTCATAGACAATCACTTGTGGTTATAACAACGAACATAGCCAAAGTTTACTGAAAATTTGCTTTGCCCCAGGTACTGTCATGTCTACTAATTTACTACTAAGAATCACAGTATGTAATAGTTGAAGCTGCTGAAAAGCCAAGGACCATGAGAAAATTGAAATTTATTTTAAAAATTGGTTTAAAAAGAACACACAGAGTAATAGACTTCGTTATAAAGCTTTCAGAAGTCTTGACAGCCATTCTCCCCCACCTTTTAGCCTCTTTCCACTAATCCCTTCTTCCCCTCAGTAGTCCTCTCCTCTTTTTCTGTGTCATGTAGTCTACTGCCATCTTCCCACCTAAAATCTTTTTGCTCCTCTTGTTGTTCCCGTTCTAACTCCCTGACCTATACTCACCCCCATATATTATATATTTTGTGTGTGTGTGTGTATGTATGTATGTATGTATGTATATGTGTGTGTATAAATACTAAGTTTAGGATATGCATATATGCATATAAGAGAAAAATGCAGTATTATTTGTCTGTGCTACTGTACTTGTCCTAAAAAAGTGTCTTAATATTCTGATCTTGGCAAAAATGTCTCAATGAGACAGAAATTTGAAAAGCATTATACATATATACTGTATATTTTTTCATGTGTGTAAAAGAACTAGAATTTAGGATATGTATATAAAAGAAAAACACATTTTCCAGTCTGTGATATTGTAGTTGCGTTAAAAAAGATGTCTCAATGAGACAGAAACTTGAAAAGCAAGAGTAAGTCACCCACGCCTTTATGTCTAGATAGTCCACTCTTTGACTTCCGTAATTAATGCAGGATGTGTAGTCACAGCTTCAACATGTGTGAATGCAATACGGGATTTTGTGTCGTGGTTTATACTTCAAGGGCAACAGCTCTAGGAATCGTCGGCGTTGCTGGTAATATTGGGTCAGCCTTGATATGTATATAAAAGAAAAACACATTTTCCAGTCTGTGATATTGTAGTTGCATTAAAAAAGATGTCTCAAATGAGACAGAAATTTGAAAAGCAAGAGTAAGTCATCCATGCCTTTATGTCTAGATAGTCCACTTTTTGACTTCCGTAATTAATGCAAGATGTGTAGTCCCAGCTTCAACATGTGTGAATGTAATACGGTATTTTTGTGTCATGGGTTTATACTTCAAGGGCAACAGCTCTATATGTATATAAAAGAAAAACACATTTTCCAGTCTGTGATATTGTAGTTGCGTTAAAAAAGATGTCTCAATGAGACAGAAACTTGAAAAGCAAGAGTAAGTCACCCACGCCTTTATGTCTAGATAGTCCACTCTTTGACTTCCGTAATTAATGCAGGATGTGTAGTCACAGCTTCAACATGTGTGAATGCAATACGGGATTTTGTGTCGTGGTTTATACTTCAAGGGCAACAGCTCTAGGAATCGTCGGCGTTGCTGGTAATATTGGGTCAGCCTTGGCTCCCCTGTTTATGATCCTCACGACATATTCTGCATCCTTACCCTGGATCATCTACGGAGTCCTCCCCATCGTTGGTGGTCTTGTTGTCCTTCTCCTTCCTGAAACCAGGAATCAGCCTCTGCCTGACTGCATCCAAGATGTGGAAAATGAGTGAGTAAAAGCTCTGCTTACCTTTTAGGGGAGTTGTATGTTAATAGTCTGAGAAGAAGGCAAATTGTAGGAACACTCTCTTCCAGGTTGTCTGAGAACTAGTCTTTTGCACATGTCATCATTATCTTTGGCATAGGACGCTTCAGTGAATCCCTTATACAGTGGTTTAGAGGTGCCTGGACACTCAAAGACCTGTTCTGTGAAGGCTGCATCAGGAGATTTAGTGATAAATAGGACAAAATTCTGAGAAGTCTGCTCTAGTGCAAAACACATATTCTTATTTTTAGTTTTAAAATTTTGTATATGTGAGTGTGTATATGTGTTAGTGTGGCGTATGGGAGTGTGGTTTATGCACATGAGTGTGTGCAGGTGCACACACCCATGCATGTTCATCCAGGGGCCAAATGATGATGTTAGGTGTTTCAGTCTGTCACTCTTTATCTTATTACCCTGAGAGAGGTCTCCAATTGAACCTGGAGTTAGGCTAGAGGCCAACCAGCCTCAGTGATCCTCCTGTTTATGCCCCTCACAGCTTTCAGGTTGAAGCATGCATGGCCACACCTGGCTTTTTATGTGTGTTCTAGAGATTTGAACTCAGATCCTCATGCTTGCAGAGCAAAGCACTCTGGGCCTTCTCTCCAGCCACTGAAACAAATATCCTTGATGATATTTCACAAGCATACATAAATACAAATGACATTTCATCTCTTTGACCCAGCAAACCTTCAGCCTAGTGAGTATTGATTAACTGTCTGAAACTAACAGTTTCTACAGACTTGAGGGCAATGGTCATTGGGTAACTTAGGGAGGATTACATGTAAGGCTAAAGAACCTGCCACAGATGACAGTGAATCTGAGGGAAGGACTTGTGTTTTCAGTGAGATTCAGTCTACCTTAATTTCATTAGGAATGACAATGTTCATGACAGAGAAGAATAGAATAGTCAATAAAGTAATAAAAATGGGCAGGGTTAAAGTTTTTTTAGCGTGTTTCCATCACTTTTCTCCCCTAAAAACCTTCTTGGAGAATGCCATGATGACCAAAGGGGAAAATATCAAAGCTAACTCACAGGTTTCCATGGAAGTTGGACTTCTCAAGATTTATTCAAATCCTTTGGCAGGAGTCCTGGATTTCCCCAAAGCTCATGAGTGAAAGATGAACTTGCTCTAAAGAATCCAAAGTTTCTTTTTTCCTCAATGTTCTTTGAGGTTTTGTTTATGTGTTTATGATGTTTCCTGTGTGTTCCAGGGAGAAAAGCCCAAGAGAAGCAAAGCAGGAAGATGCAAACATCAAAGTGACAGAGCTTTAAGGAACCCCAGGAATTGGCCTCTGATCAAGGAGTAAGATAAAGAAAAATATCCAGAATATAATGACCCAAGATGATGACCCATCGTTATTCCTAGATATTAAAAAATTCAATAAATAAAGATAAAGTACAAAACTTGGATTGCATTTAAAATTTTTTTAAAATTTCATTTATTTTTATTTTATGCGTATGCGGGTATTGCCTGCATGTAGTTAAGTGCACCTATGTTGTGCAATGTCTGCAGAGGTCAGAAGAGGCTGTCGGATTCTCTGGAACTGGAGTTACGGATAGTTGTTAGTTGCCATGTGGGTGCTGGAATTCAAACCCGGGTCTTCTGCAAGAACAACCAGTGTTCTTAACCACTAAGCCATCTCTCCAACCCTATACTAAATTAGGTATTGCCTGCATGTAGTTAAGTGCACCTATGTTGTGCAATGTCTGCAGAGGTCAGAAGAGGCTGTCGGATTCTCTGGAACTGGAGTTACGGATAGTTGTTAGTTGCCATGTGGGTGCTGGAATTCAAACCCGGGTCTTCTGCAAGAACAACCAGTGTTCTTAACCACTGAGCCATCTCTCCAACCCTATACTAAATTGCTATACGTAGAATATCTTTGCTTTATCACAGTAAGGAATTTAAAGAAAGCCCACAGGTGTGAAGAAGCAGCAGAAATGGAAGACCTGGGCTAGGGACTGCCTCTTACCCAGGGTAAGGTCCACATGTGCAGGGAGTTCCACAACTCAAAGTCAAGCCGATGAGGCCAGAGCTGAGCCAAGACAGTACCTGGCCCTTAGAGAAAGACTAGGGGTAGATCCTTGACTCTAAATACCAATTCCATACAGGATAATGACACCTCAACTCTGCTATGACTTAGTTCTCTGCTGAACATTGTGAATTCCTCCGCTGAAAGAAGAGAGACAACCTGAATTTAACAAAAAGAAAAAAGAGAAATGAAGGAAAGAAAACCAATAAATCAAGTCTAGATATACAAGTTCCAGTATATCTAGAAACAAACAACATTAAAAACCAAGATAGCAGGTTATCACCCCAAATTGTTAATTTCATAGTAAAGGTTCTCAATAAGAATGATTTGGAAGAACTTCCAGGCAAAACATCGAAAGGAATAATTACAACTATGTTTGAACAACTTAAATAAGACATGAAAGCACTCCAACATTTCAGAAACAGGGAGCTGCTAGAAATAAGGAAGTTAATCCAAGATATAAAAATAGAATTCAATAAAGAGAATTTCTGAGAAAAAACCAAACTGAAACAATGCCAGAAATGAAAAAACTCAATAAGCCAAATTAAAAGCTCAGTGGAAAGCCTCACAGAATGGATCTGCAGAATGGAGCATGGGAAAACAGTATCAGGGCTAGAAGACAAGGTCGAGGAATTGAATCATTCAGTAAAGGTCAACGATAAATTTAAAAAATATTAATGGAACATGGGAGAGCTGTGGGACATCACGAAGAGATCAAATCCTCAAATTATGGGCATAGAAGAAGGAGAATACTGCACTAATGACATACAAAATATTTTCATTAAAATGACAGAAGAAAATTCCCAAAACTTAGAGAAAGAGATGCCTAGCTAGGTACAAGAAGCCTGAAGAACACCAAGTAGACAGGAGTAGAAAAGAAAATCTCCATGAAATATTAAAGTTAACAGAGAATATTACTCAGAGAATAGAAAGGGCACCAAAAGTCTCAAAAAATAAGGGTCAAATCACTTATTAAGGCAGACCAATCAGAATAACATCCTATTATTTGACAGAAACATGTAAAGCCAGAATAGCTTGGAACAAATGGATGCCAAATTGTGAAAGATCACAACTGCCAACCCAGATTATTATACCCAGAAAAACTGTTGATAGTAATCAAAGGAGAAATTCAAACCTTCCATGACAAGGGTAGACTAGAGAAGCTTTGACCACTAATCCAGCTTTGCCAACGATGCTGGAAGGAACACTTCAGTCTGAATAGGAAGACAAACTCACCAAAGACACCACAGGCAAAAACAAACAATTCCAGGGCAGTGAATCAGAGAGGTCTTAGGAAACACCACAAAATCAACACAGTTAAAAGAATCAATACACATCCTTCAACAAAACTCTGAATATTAATGGTCTTTATTCTCCCAACAAAAGACAGACTAGCAGACAGAATTAGAAAACAGGATCCATCTTTTTGATGCACCCAAGAAACACACCTCAAAACAAAAAACATACACCAGATTAGGGTGAAAGGATGGAAAAAGGTATTCCAAGAAAGTGGAACCTTTAAAAAACAAGCAAGCATAGAGATTCTAAAATCAGACAAAATAGACTTGAAACTAAAAACAGAAGGGATAAGGAAGGCCACATCAACTCACCAGAGAAAAATCGATCAAAAAGACATCACAATTCGACACATATATGCCCAAATATTGGCACACTCAACTTCATAAAATACTAGTAGATAGAAAGCCACAGATTAGTTTCAACACAGTAATAGTGGGTGACATCAGTATCTCACTGTCACCAGTACACAGATCATCCAGAAAATAACTAAACAAAGAAACTCAGGAGTTAAATGACACCAGAAATAAAAAAAAAACACACATCTACAGAACATTTCACCCAAACACTTCTCAACAGTCCATGGAACTTTCTGCAAAATTGACTATATATTAGGACACAAAGTAAGTTTCAACAATTATAGAAAATTGAAAAAACATTTTGCCTTCTATCTTATCACAATGGAATAAAGCTAGATAGCAATGGCAGTAGAAACTACATACAGCACACAAATTCATGGAGATTAAAAAACACTATTGAATGATGTATGACACCTTAAATTATGAAAACATGAACAAGTGACATGCAAAAATAATAGATGAGAAGAAATAATCAAGATAATGAAATAGAAACAAAAATCCAAAAAAATGAAATGGGTTTGTTCTTTGGAAAGATGAACAGATTTGGCAAACTCTTATCAAAATTAGCAAAAAGAAAGAGAGAAGACCCAAGTTAATAAAATTAGAGATGAAAAGGGAGACATTAAAACAATTGTCAATGAGATTCAGAAAATCTTTTATAAGAATGGAGTTTGACTCAGCAGTAAAGGAAGATGAAGTAAAATTTGCAGGTAAATGGATGAAACTAGTAACTGATATACTAAGTGGAGTGACTCAGACTCAGAAAACCAAATGACATATGTTCTCTCTCATTTGTGGATCTTAGCTCTGAATCCTTAGATGTGAGTGTGTATCCTGATTTTAACTGCAGGAGCCAGGAAAATGGAAAGGAATCATGGGGGTAAAGGGGAAAAAGAAGTCTGAGGGAGGGAGATAATAAGAAAGATGTGTTACCAAGGGGGAAATGGGGAAAAGGGGGGTACTTTAACTTGGGATGTAGTAGGAAGGGTTATACAGAGGACTTGAGAGGGGCGATAAATGTCAGAATGTGTATCCTGATTTTAACTGCAGGAGCCAGGAAAATGGAAAGGAATCATGGGGGTAAAGGGGAAAAAGAAGTCTGAGGGAGGGAGATAATAAGAAAGATGTGTTACCAAGGGGGAAATGGGGAAAAGGGGGGTACTTTAACTTGGGATGTAGTAGGAAGGGTTATACAGAGGACTTGAGAGGGGCGATAAATGTCAGAAGGTGTGGAAAAACCAGAGGGAAATGTATGAATTCAAAGTTCTTTTGAAAAGTATTTATATTTATATTTATATGAATATGATTGCATATATATAACTGAAGGCTATATAACAGAAAACACAGTGCCAGGTAAGAGAAACACCCTTTGAGTTGTTGGTCAGGGTAGACAAAGTGACTCCTAATACAACATAGCCCTTGATTGCCTCCCAGAATTTGAAGGTATAAGACCCTCTTCCTGAAGATAGTCCATATTTTGAACATGGGAATTGGAGCAATAGAGCTCGGACAGACATGGAGACATTCTCCATGAAGACTAGATCTTATGATATCAGAATATACTGTGCAAGCTGCCAGTGGAGAAAAACCAATCAATGGTCCTACCTGTAAAGTCTAATAACCAACAATGACTGGCAAGCAGACTATTTTTATTGGTGCAGTAGTGACACTTTATCTTGGGGTTAATCAACAGCTGTCTAATTGGAATTAAGGCCCACACAATGGGAGGGAACTTATGAATGGTATCGTAAACATAATGAAATACACATGGCTGGAGAGCTCATAGATACCAAAGAAAAACCTACTCTTATCACATTTGTAGATCAATATAATTTCTTACTGTTTTCTTTTACAAATTTATTTATTTATTTTTATTTTATGTGTATGAATGGTATACTTGCATCTGTGTAAGTGTGCCCATGTTGTGTAGTGCCCTCGGAAGACGGAAGAGGGCATTGGATCCCCTGGAAATGAAGTTATAGACAGACAGTTGTTAGCCACCCTGTGGATGAACATGTGTTAGAGAAATAATCAGAGATCAACAGCCAATATCAGGTGAGGAGAGGGAGTTTAATTTGACGCTAGCAGGACTGACACCATGAATCAAGAAGTCAGACCCCCTGTTCAAGTTCTGGGGGGGTTTTATACTCAAGTGAGGAATGCAGTCAAAAGGTACATAGCATATACATGGTAATTAAGTACGATAACAGAGGGCAGCAAAGGTAATAGAAATGCAAAGGTTACAGGAATGCAAAAGTCTTAGGTCTATAGAGGAATGTGATAGTTTTGGAAAACAAAGACTTCTTATCCTGGATAACCAAAGGGGGCAGGGAAGATTTCTGTTTACTTCCCCATTCTGGAGTTCTTAATTATCATCACATTGCAAAATCCTTTAGCATCTGATAAGTTCTACTTCCATAATATTTCCCTCCTCTTCATTGACATAATCCCTTATGTTTATTCTAGGGGAACTCTGTGATATTCTTGACAAATCACCTGGAGTCTGATATCTCCTACTCAGTTTTTGATACATTTACTGAGAATATTTATTATTCATGGCCCTATCTGAAGGATTAATAGAATCATGACTATGGGTCCTGTAAATGGGGCACACCAGGTGTAGGACCCAGAGATCCCCCCTCATTCAACCCCTCCCAACACCCCA